ATTTTTAACTACAAAATAATTATTAAATTTTAAAATTGATAAATTTTGTCAAAATTCGAACATTAAATGCTTATAAAAAAAAAAGGTGGGCAAGTAGGTGTCGCTCTGCTGTACAGTAGGTTACAAGTGGGTCATTGTATAATGGATGGTATTAAATTTGAATTCAATGATATAATATCATTGTATAAGAAAAACGATTCTGAGCGGAGACGGTATGTCCTTCTAAGTATAAGACATATTATATACATATCTATGGTATTAAAAAAAATTGACCTATAATGAATTCCAAATTAATCATATCACAAAATCCATTAGGTACTTATAACGCGTTATACACCAACAACAAACCCTAATACTATCATAGATATATATAGTAGATTACTTTAGAAATTTCAAGTACCCACGAATAATATTATACAATCACAACAAAATAACTAAAATCGTAATTCTTGGTTTAAATATGAAATTTTGTCTAAATTTGAAATTAAAATGTCTGTAAAAAATAAGTGTGTTTATATATTTTTTAGATTTTTTGGTTACAGTATGAATTATTTAAGAGAATCTTTGTTTTAAATTTTCAACTCTTAGTTATAAAAACTGAACATTTTATAATTTTTTAATTCCAACGATTGATAATTTTCGAGATTTTGATAAATTTTGTCAAAATTCCAACTTTAAATGCTTATAAAAAAAAATCGTGCCTATGTATTTTTAAAATTTTTCAACTGATATTGTAACAATATATAAGAAAGCTTGTATTAAATTTTCAGACTTTTGGCCCACCAAATAAAATTTTATTGACAATTATAAAAAAAAAACTAAAAAAATTGAAAACTGAAAATGTCCGTAAACAGCTCAAAAAGAGTCAAAATATTTTCAAAATTGTATGGTGTATATGAAATGCTAATATAAACATTCAGTGAAATTTTCATGTATTTACAGTTATTCGTTTTTGAATTACAACAAAATAAGGAAATCGCTACATGAGAAATCGAGTGAAAATCCAATGTTGTAAAAATTTGAATTTCAAACGCTCATAAAAATTTAATTTGACTGTCCGGTAGAGATTTTTTTATTGATAAAGGTAGATAATCTTATAAGGAATCTTGTGACTCATTTTCAAATCTTAGATTTAAAAAGAAAAATTTTTACGAATTCTTAACTCAAAATAATTTGCTAATTTTCGTGATTTTTCCATATTTTGTCAATTTTTGAACTTTAAATGCTTATAAAAAAAAATTGTGACTAAGGATTTTTAATATTTTTCATCTGCCTTTGAAACAACATATTAGGAGCCTTCTATTAAATTTTCAAGCTTTCGCAACCAACAAATAAAATTTTATTGATATTTTTAGAAAAAAAACTAAAAAAAAATGGAAAATGAAAATGTCCCTAAACAGTTCAAAATAAATCAAAATATTTTGAAAATGTTATCGTGTATAGAAAATGCAAATATTAACAACCAGTGAAAATTTCATGTATATACGTTCAATTGTTTTAGAGTTACACCAATAACCAAAATCGATTTTTTGGAAAACCAATTTTGCGTAAAATTCCCGTTTTTCCTTAATTTTTATGTTGTTTTTCCCGGCGCTTGTGAAAACTACTGTGAAATTTATACTTTTGACCCCCCAAAGTACCAACTAGATTCACTTTCCTATCAGAAAAGGTACTATTGAAGAAAATCGAAGCACTTTTACTGTCCTAAAACGTGATGACAGACACAAAAATATAAATAAAAATATAAATAAAAATATAAATAAAAAGGTGGGCAAGTGGGTGTCGCTCTGCTGTACAGTAGGTTACAAGTGGGTCATTGTATAATGGATGGTATTAAATTTGAATTCAATGATATAATATCATTGTATAAGAAAAACGATTCTGAGCGGAGACGGTATGTCCTTCTAGGTATAAGACATATTATATACATATCTATGGTATTAAAAAAAATTGACCTATAATGAATTCCAAATTAATCATATCACAATATCCATTAGGTACTTATAACGCGTTATACACCAACAACAAACCCTGATACTATCATAGATATATATAGTAGATTACTTTAGAAATTTCAAGTACCCACGAATAATATTATACAATCACAACCAAATAACTAAAATCGTAATTCTTGGTTTAAATATGAAATTTTGTCTAAATTTGAAATTAAAATGTCTGTAAAAAATAAGTGTGTTTATATATTTTTTAGATTTTTTGGTTACAGTATGAATTATTTAAGAGAATCTTTGTTTTAAATTTTCAACTCTTAGTTATAAAAACTGAACATTTTATAATTTTTTAATTCCAACGATTGATAATTTTCGAGATTTTGATAAATTTTGTCAAAATTCCAACTTTAAATGCTTATAAAAAAAAATCGTGCCTATGTATTTTTAATATTTTTCAACTGATATTGTAACAATATATCAGGAGCCTTGTATTAAATTTTTACACTTTTTGGCCCAACAGATAAAACTTTATTGATATTTATAGAAAAAAAAACTAAAAAAATTGAAAGCTGTAAATGTCCATAAACAGCTCAAAAAGAGTCAAAATATTTTCAAAATTGTATGGTGTATATGAAATGCTAATATAAACATTCAGTGAAATTTTCATGTATCTACAGTTATTCGTTTTTGAATTACAACAAAATAAGGAAATCGCTACATGAGAAATCGAGTGAAAATCCAATGTTGTAAAAATTTGAATTTCAAACGCTCATAAAAATTTAATTTGACTGTCCGGTAGAGATTTTTTTATTGATAAAGGTAGATAATCTTATAAGGAATCTTGTGTTTCATTTTCAAATCTTAGATTTAAAAAGAAAAATTTTTACGAATTCTTAACTCAAAATAATTTGCTAATTTTCGTGATTTTTCCATATTTTGTCAATTTTTGAACTTTAAATGCTTATAAAAAAAATTGTGACTAAGGATTTTTAATATTTTTCATCTGCCTTTGAAACAACATATTAGGAGCCTTCTATTAAATTTTCAAGCTTTCGCAACCAACAAATAAAATTTTATTGATATTTCTAGAAAAAAAACTAAAATAAAATGAAAAATGAAAATGTCCCTAAACAGTTCAAAATAAATCAAAATATTTTGAAAATGTTATCGTGTATAGAAAATGCAAATATAAACAACCAGTGAAAATTTCATGTATCTACGGTCATTTGTTTTAAAGTTACACCAATAACCAAATTCGATTTTTTGGAAAATCGATTTTGCGTAAAAATTCCCGTTTTTCCTTAATTTTTATGTTGTTTTTTCCCGGCGCTTGTGAAAACTACTGGAAAATGTTTACTTTTGACCCCCCAAAGTACCAACTAGATTCACTTTCCTATCAGAAAAGGTACTATTGAAGAAAATCGAAGCACTTTTACTGTCCCAAAACGTGATGACAGACACAAAAAAAATATAAAAATATAAAAACTTACATCATTGTAAAACCAATACATTCATCGCTCCGCTCAGAATCTAAAATATAAATAAAAATATAAAAACATACATCATTGTAAAACCAATACATTCATCGCTCCGCTCAGAATCTAAAAATGTGCCTATGTATTTTCAATATTTTTCAACTGCTATTGTAACAATATATCAGTAGCCTTGCATTAAATTGTCACGCTTTATTACCAAACAAATAAAATTTTATTTTTATTTATAGAAAAAAAAACTAAAAAAATTAAAAAGCTCAAAAGGAGTCAAATAATTTTCAAAATTTTATGGTGTATGGAAAATGAAAATATAAACATTTAGTGCAATATTCAAGTATCTACAGTCATTCGTTTTTTAATTACAACAAAATAAGAAAATCATTACTCGAGAAATCAAGTGAATATGAAATGTTGTAAAAATATGAATTTCAAACGTTAATAAAAATTTAATTTGACTTTGTTATAGATAGACATTTTTTTTTTTTGATAAAAGTAGACAAACTCAAGAGGAATCTTGGGTTATATTTTCAAATTTTAAATGTGAAAAGAAAATTTTTACGAATTTCCAACTCAAAATAATTTGCAAATTTTTGTCAATATTTGAACTTTAAATGGTTATAAAAAAAAACTGGGACTAAGGATTTTTAAGATTTTTCAAATGTCATTGTAACAATATAGTACTAGTAGGAGCCTTATATTACATTTTTGAGTTTTTTAACCAACAAATAAAATTTTATTGATATTTATAGAAAAAACACAAAAAAAAAATGGAAACTGAAAATGTCCGTAAACAGCTCAAAATATTTGGAAAATTGGAAAATACATTACTACCATTTCCAACCACATACTTATGAGGAGAAGAGTTTTCTTCTTTAGTTGTCACTTGAGTACTTGACATTAAAACAAATTAAAGTAATCGTTTTGATGCTACACACAATATCCGATGTGCACTTTCAATGAATATACATCTTAACATTGAAAAACTTTTTGAAAACGTTCAGCATCAAGAAAGTTATTAAGCAAAAATTAATTCTATGTTAAATTTGAAACAATTATTAAAATCATTTTTATAATATTGTATACAGACCAGTTTTTAATTTGTATTTTAATTTTTTTTGATATTAATTAATAAAAATTGTGTTAGCAATTATGATTTTTTTATAAAATCCAAAAGTTAAATTTAAAATGTTAGGGTCGCGCTCATAAAATTTTGGGAACCTCTGAGCTAGACTCTGCTAATCACCTTCATAATATTTGACAAAAACTTGTACTAAAAATGTTCACGAAAATGTTGAAAGGCCTCCCTCCTAACCATACAAAATATTATACTATAATATAATTTCAATTAATGTAATTTTGTAGTATAAAATATTAAAATAATTCATTGTCATATAGCCGAGCACCTTTTTAAATATATTTCCATTTTTTAAAAATAAAATTTGTTATTGTAATTTACTGTACAATAATTATTTATTAGTACATGGTTTAAAGAATGAATTATCCATAAAATCACAACAGTAAATAGGTGAAATAGTCAAAATAACTATAGTTTAATGTACTAATTGGTTTTTACATTTTTATTTTTGAAAATTCTAACAGTATTATCAGCTCCACCAGACAGTATTAATTTTTGATTTGACCAATCACTGCACATCACTTTCTCTTCATGGCCCGTCAATTCAAACAATGGTACTTTTGGACTGTAACAAGATTGTTTTTATGAAGATACTACATATTGTATTATATAATATTAAATATATAAAAGAGATATTGACCTTCTAGTATCCCATAATTTCATTTGATTGTCATATCCACCCGACACAAACTGATATTCTTCTGATTTGGACCATCTGACAGTGGTCACCCACTGTGTGTGTGAAGAATATGTACCTTTAACTAAAGATCCCTCTAAAAATAATCATATTATATTATTATTAAATAATCATTTATAAACCAATACATTTAAAATTTAAAAAACAGCAGTAGCAAAAATGTTATACCTTTAGATCTTAGATCATATAATCTAATGTGTCTATCAGATGAACATGTGATTACAGATCCATTCAAATCTGAGTAATCATGATCGAAAAATGATTTGTTACCGACAATTTCTGTTTTGATTCCACCTATCTCTCCATCCCAATGTTTTATAGTATGATCCCAAGATGATGTTATCAGATCAGAGTTGTTAATAAATTGAACAGATGATATGTTTTCTTTGTGGCCTTTTAATGTCATGATCGGAGGCTGTTGAAATATGTTTTAAATATAATAAGTATTGAACAAAATATTAAAGAAAGTACTTACCATAATTTTTGTTTCTGATTTTAGTTTTTTGGCAGGTTTATCAGCAGGCTCATAATTTGGATCTAGTTAAGTTTTAACAATTATTAAATTAATGGAAGAGTATAATGTTATTATACAATATTGATATAATGAATATTATATTTAAAAAAAAAATTAAAAAAAAAGAATACAATTATTTAATATTAGTTTATTATTTATACATTAAAAATTTGGATTAAAACTGATTTGATACAATTTTAATCAGAATCAAATTTTCAGTTCATTAAAAATATAAAAGCTAGGTATATTTGTGTTTAAAACTATAATTTAAAATTTGATTCATCACACTCTTGTCTTATGTCAACTAAATATAAAAAGTTAAATCATGATATTACCTGATGACCAAATTTTCAACATAGTGTCCCATCCACCAGTAGCAAATCTAGTTGAATCTGGACTAACACTTATACATTCAACCGATCTTTCATGTCCACGGCCAATTTGTAAACAATTGGTAGTTCCTTTCTTTATATCCCAATCCCAAACTCTAATTGATTGATCCTGAGAACCACTAAAAGTAACAAAATAATAATAATTATTATATTCAAAAATTCTTAATTATATGTAGAATTATTAAAATTATGATTAAATAGGTATTTAACATTTAAATACAATAAATAAAATTACACATGCACACTAGAATAATTTCATAGTTTTTAAGGAATTAATAACTATTTACATTAAGTTATATTATAAATCTAATTATTTACCTAACAAATGTGGCAGAATCATTTGAAATAGATATCCATTGTACTGCTTTCACGGGGCCAGTATGCCCGGATATACCGGTTTTATGTTTCCCTTTGTTTGTCCATATATGAATTGAATTATCATAACATCCTGTTATGATCCTGAAAAAGTTACATAAGACCAATTATGAGCTCCCCAACAATTATATATTATTATATATATTAAAAAAAAAATATTCATATAACATACCAAGATCCCATAGAGTGAATAGCGGATACCCAGTCATCATGTATAAGACAATCCATTGGTTCAGGCGACGGAGTAGCTTCCATGTATTCAACAACCACATTGCTTTCACTAGATACATTTTTGTGTGACAAATGAATATCCAAAGGAGTGCGCAATAATTCACCATTGACCAAAAAATCAAAATCAACCTTTTTCACAACTCCATTATCATCAGATAATTTATCTAAATAAACCAATCAGTCAAATACAATACAGTGAACTAATTCAAGTACAAAATCAAATTAGAATATTTTAAAACAAATGCATTAAACCTTTCAATAATTCGTTAACTAGTTTGTTCAAATTTTCACATTGGATTTTTGAATCAACTGCGAAAGGAAATTCTGGTACAGCATAACTGTAAAAATAAATAAATTATGTTTCATAGTTCTAAATAAATAAAAGTTAAAATTCTAAAAAAATACCATAATCCGTCACAATTAACCAATTAGGCAACTACTACTACCTACTTGTTTTCTTGTGTATTATGAGTTACATATGAATAAAAATTATTTAAGTAGTAAAAACTTACATTTCTTGCTTTGTAATGAATTTTATTTGGATTTGAGACCCTAAATCGACTTTTTTCTTTGAACGGTCCATGATTAACACTTACACAATTATATTTAATGAAAACCGATATTTCACTTTTTAGTTTTTTCCTAACATAGTAATTAATAACATGTCGACAAATAAAAACACGTGCTAATCATTTAAACAATACAAATCTTATCAGTAATCAATTGTATACAGTGTAACCACAGATTAACTTGGTATTTTAATATCATGTTAGGTGGATCTCTAATCTTAATGGTGGTAACATCCTCTCTTATCATTTTTCGGAAAGCATTTTAGGCATTTTTTTTGTTTTTCACGGCACTTTTGAAAACTACTGGGAATTTTAAATTTTGACATCCCCATGACCCCATGCACCAACTAGATTTACTTTCCCATAGGAAAAGATACAACTGAAGTTGAAAAAAAGTATTATTTCGACTACTTACCGTGTTCACATAAAAAATAAATAAAAAGAACACATCATTGTAAAATCAATACATTTATCGCTCGGCTTAGAAATATACTTATACTACATTGACGACGTATGATTGTATGAACAGAAAACTGAAAATACTTTACTTCCTATAGTCAACAAAATATAAATGTTTTTTTTTTTTAAATTATTTATTTGAGCCGCAACTACTACGGTTATTGGCTTACATTAAGAACAGTAGTCAGTAATATACAGAATGTATCTTATGTCATTGTACGCGGGTTTTTTGACGATTACGGAACGATGATATGGAATTTCGTTAAAACGAAAAAAGACGTGTTTCTTTATTTTTAACAATCAATTTTTTTATAACAATTTCAAAATTGTTATTAAAAATAAAGAAACACGTCTTTTTTCGTTTTAACGAAATTCCATATCATCGTTCCGTAATCGTCAAAAAACCCCGAGTACAATGACATAAGATACACCATGTATACATTTACATTATAATATTAAAATATAGAATACCTAGTATATTATAACAGGGGTCTCCCAAGCCCCAACCTTTCTTTAAGGCTGGCCAAAATTGAGATATTCTTATTTCTTGTCACTGTGGCATCGAGGGCCAACATTTTTAGAGGAATAGATCAGTTGAGAAATTGAAGGATAGATAACATTTATTTAAAAAAATTAATGTTTATTTATAAACTTTTTTTATTTTATAACACGTTTTTCTATAATAAGCTGTTACGAATAACACCAAATGAAAAAAATAGTAAATTCATTTTATTTAATTATTATTTCCAAAACATTAATTAGTTAAGCTGGCCAGTGAAAAACACTTGGCGGGACGTAGGTTGGAGACCTCTGGTATACAATATAAACAGTCTGAATCTTACAAAGAAAATGTGTTGACTGTTGAGTACCTATATACAAGAAGATAGAAAAAATAAATAAAGACGAATTAGATAGAATTATATAATTTAGTTATTACTTATTATTAAGAATTTTGTTGATGTTTTCTTGGACAGGTCCCAATGCTTTGTTTAGGTAGCTGCATAGTTGTGACAATAAAGTATGTTGTGTTTGACTGTTAGTGCTTCCCATATAGTGCTTCCCCACAATTTGAGCATTGATCCGGTTCTTATCGTTTCATAAGATGGCTGTCTGTTATTCAAGTATATCCTATTCTTAGCCTGTTGATTATGACATTATGACGTACCTATTTTAGTAAGGGATGTTGGCTTAGGGTTTACTGAAAGTTGTATTTAATTGAGTTTTGTATGTAGGGATGTCCAACCGTCTTTTGTTTAATTATTTTAAGTGCACGGTGAATTGCATAGGCTTCAGTTGTGTAAATTGAACAGAAATCTGGAAAGTTGATCATTTATTTGTAGGTATTATTGGAATATACCGGAGACCCTAGCCGGCTTCAATTATAGATCTGTTAGTATAAAACTTGATGTAATACTGGTGGTCTTCCAGTAATGAATGAACCTGATTTCTAAAAATATTATTCATAGTTTCGCTTTCAATGTGTAGAGAAAGATCAGTGTTGGAGGAGTGTAATTCCATAACCCATGGAGGACTGAAGTAGTGCCGGTTCATGTTTAAATATTCCTGTGTAATCAAACATGAAAGTTAAAAGTTTTATTATGCTATCTTGGTTCAAGATGTTGTTGAGTTATGCTCTTCTAGGATTTGGAAGCATGGAGTCTTTTATTCTTTTTAAGTGGAGAGGAGTATGAATACTTGGGATTGGACTAGAACAGAATGAGCCTGTGGCAAGTCTTAGGCTGTGTTGTGAAGAGTCTCTATCATTTTGAGTGCAGATTGTTTAGCATCGATGTACGGGAAACCCCATATTACAATTTTGATAGAAAAATAGATTTATATAATATTTGTTTGAGAGAGGTTACATTTGCTTCCAACATTCATTTCCTTTAAGAGAGACAGCCGTATTCTTATTATCGAATACAATTCAGAGGATCTTAATGGTTTTAATATATAGTATTGGGATATTGTTTCAATGTACTTCTAATTTATTGTATTTTTTTTTAGCTTGGTAAAGAAGGTGCAATGAGATTTCAAAGCAGAAAAAATGAAACCATTTCTAGAGGACTATTCCATAGAGATTGGCTCCTGTAATGGTCGTTGGATGAAATTCGTGGTTTTTCCTCTGCAAAGAATATTTAAATCATCGGCATTGAATTGACTGGAAATTTAAAAGCCTCAATATTAGGTTAGGTTCCTACTTAAATTTCAATGATGAATTAAAACTAAAAAAATATCAATTTATAATGAATTGTAGGTAAAAAAAATATATTTCAAAACATATTTAATTTACTATTGTAATACATTCAAATAAAAAAAGAAGTTAATCTCAATAGTATTACTTATACATAACACAAGACACCCTTTTAGCTGATTTCGCGATAATAGCAATACATGAAAATCATTAAATTGTCTCGGCCAATCTCCAATTACACTTAGACCTCATATCGCAATGGTACTCCAAATGGAGAATAAAACTAAACCACAACAAGTCGGTGCACACAACCTTTACGTTAAAACACAGACTTTGTCCACCTGTATCTATAGACAACATACCTATTCTGCCGTCTGACACCATTAAATACCTAGGACTGACACTTGCCAAAAGACTAACTTGGAAACAGTACATAAGGTCCAAAAGACTAAATTTAAACACTCGTTCTCACACCCTCAAACACCTCTTATCAAAAAATAAATTCACTAAACTAAAAACTAAACTACTCATTTATAAGTCATTACTAAAACCCATTTGGACTTACGGATTACAACTGTGGCGGTCGGCCAAAAAAACTAATATTAATAAAATCCAGGCTTTCCATTACATCACCCTACGAAAAATTGCAAATGCCCCACCGTATGTATCCAATCTAACCCTCCATAATGATATGCTCATGAAAACAATTGAAGAAGAATCGGTAATTTATTATAAGCGATTCTTTTCACATCCAGCTAACCACAAAAATCCACTAATCAGGAATCTCTTTTTTTTTATTATTTATTATATACAATCTGTTCTTTTAGGAACAATAAGAATATGTGATATTTAAAAAAAGTTTATAACATGAAAACGTGATGGGAGGAGTCACCCAGTGGTTACACTACCCTTACTTGATATTTTTTTTTATTTTTTTTTTCTATAATGTTTGCTCATTATTGTGTGTTACTGATTGAGAAGATCTCGACACCATTTTCTTCTGAGCCTCCTAGGAGGGTTTTAAAAATTTTAAAAGTTTTAACTGTTTTAATTTTTAGATCGGTGTGTAAAGTTAGGTTTGAAATTTATGGAGGAGAGCTTGTGATTTTACGAAGGATGATTTTTTGGAAGGTTTGAATTTTATTAGTGTTAGATTTTTTGGCATTGCCCTAGAGTTGAAGACCATAGGTCCACATAGGCTTAAACAAGGATTTATAAATTAAGAGTTTAGTATTTAATGGAGTGTGTTTGTTTTTGGTAATTAGAGTTTTGAGGATGTGGAGTCGTGCATTTAGGGCTAGCCTTTTAATTTTAATATGATGTGACCATGTGAGTCGACGGTCAATTGTCAGACCTAAGTATTTAGCCGATTGAGAGGAAGGGATTTGAATATTGTCTAGATATACCATAGGACAAGGAGGAAGACGAAGAGTGAAAGTTGTGTGAAGTGATTTGGATTGGTTAACTTTGATACGCCATTTTTTATACCAATCAGCCATGAGGTCAAGGTGGAGTTGAAGATTGAGGGAAGCTGTGTGAGGGTTATCATGGATAGAAATAATAGCCTTGTCATCGGCAAACTCCACAACAGATGTGTACGGAGAGGTTGGTTGATCGGCAGCGTATATGTTGTATAATAGAGGAGAAAGGATGCCCCCCTGAGGAACACCAATCAGGAATCTAAATACAATAACTTTGCCCGAAGCTCCTCAACGTCGTCTGAAAAGGAGGTGGTGCAGGGACTTTCTAATCTTATAACTTCCAACATTTATTTACCTCGCTAGCTCACTTCACGCTTATTCTCCACTAAGTCATAAATTAACATAATCTGTGCTCATGCTAAGTGTTGCCAATGGGTGACTTCTTAACCCCGCTTATCCTGCCTGTTTACTCTCTTCAAATACGCTTATTGTGCTCTTAGTATAGATTGTGTAATTCTTGTAAAAAAAAAAAATAGTATTACTTTACTTACTATTTATTTAAAAAATTCACAATATACCAAAAGAAAACATTGTAAAATTGTTTATGCACAACACATAATAATATACACTTTTAAAACATTGAAGTAGGTATTAAGTTTAAAATATGATTTTTTTTTTCACCAACCAACATCCTCTGCATACAATAGGTAGAACTTTATTAAGACATTGTGATATTGACATTGTTGAGACTATCATTTAAAGATCTTATGGTAAAATGTAAGGAAATATATTATATTAAAATATTTTTTTATGTTTTTCATGAGTTCAATACCTTAAAAAGTCTAGTTAAAATTAAACCATAAATTGAAATTTGGCTGATGAAATATTTTTGTTATTTGATATAATGTTTGCACTAAAACTATAATCTAAGGGGTCACCAATT